TTTTCTAATGCTAACTCCATGGGTAGTGTCAGCATTTCCTTGGGGGCAAGTCCCTCAAAAAAGTTAAAATTAAATATAATAATCATAGAAAACTAGGGTTGGAAGGGACCTCAGGAGGTCATCTAGTCCAACCCCTTGCTCCAAGCAGAACCATCCCCAACTAGATCATACCATGCAAGGCTTTGACTAGTCAGGTCTTAAAAAACTCCAAGGATGGAGAATCCAGCACCTCTCGGGTAACCTATTCCAGTGCTTTATTACCCTTCTAGTGAGAAAGTTCTTCCTAACATCTAACCGAAACTTCCCTTGCTGCAACTTGAGACTATTGCTCCTTGTTCTGTCATCTGCCACCATTGAAACAGTCTAGCTCCATCCTCTTTGGAACCACCCTTCAGGAAGCTGAAGGCTGCTATTAAATCCCCTCTTGGTCTTCTCTTCTCTAGACTAAAGAAATGCTGTTACCTTAGCCTGTCCTTTTAAGTCATGTCCCCCAGCCCCCTCACTATTTTTGTTGCCCTCTGCTGGACTCTCCAATTTCTCCACATCCTTTCTGTAGTGGGGGGCCCAAAACTGGACACAGTAGTCTAGATGTGGCATCACCAGTGTAGAATACCAGTGCAAAGCTAACTACACTTTATCATGTATCAGCAGATGCATGACAAACAGAACCAAGGAGGTGATACTTCCCCTCTATTGGGCGCTGGTCAGACCGCAGTTGTAGTACTGCGTCCAGTTGAGCACCACACGTTAAGAGGGATGTGGATAACCTGGAGAGGGTCCAGAGAAGGGCCACTCATATGGTTAAGGGCTTGCAGGCCAAGCCCTATGAGGAGAGACTAGGGCACCTGGACCTCTTCAGCCTCCGCAAGAGAAGGATGAGAGGCGACCTTGTGGCTGCCTATAAATTCATCATGGGGGCACAGAAGGGAATTGGTGAGGCTCTACTCACCAAGGCACCCCTGGGGATTACAAGAAATAATGGCCATAAGCTAGCAGAGAGCAGATTTAGACTGGACATTAGGAGAAACTTCTTCACGGTTAGAGTGGCCAAAATCTAGAATGGGCTCCCAAGGGAGGTGGTGCTCTCCCCTACCCTGGGGGTCTTCAAGAGGAGGTTAGATAGGCATGTGGCTGGGGTCATCTGAACCCAGCACACTTTCCTGCCTATGCAGGGGGTCGGACTCGATGATCTATTGAGGTCCCTTCCGACCCTAACATCTATGAACAGAGGGAAATAATCACTTCCCTTGATCTGCTGCCAACACACCTACCAATGTAGCCCAGTATGCTGTTAGCCTCCTTGGCAACAAGAGCACACTGCTGGCTCATGTTCAGTTTTATTGTCCACTGTAACCCCCAGGTCCTTTTTCAACATGTTTTATTTCTTTTGATTTTTCAGATTTAAACTTCTTTCTGTATTAACAATTAATTATTCTGATTATTTTAAGCCCAACTTTTTAACTATAAAGCAGTTGCCTTTTGCCTATTGATCTCATACCCCTCTGCTGTTTATAATGAATGGAAGCAAATTATCCTTTTCCTTGGAGGAGTAGTGGGACAGATTTTGTTGGATCCTTTAGAATGGTTTGCTGGCTTGATTCCCTGGATTTCTTGTTCATTAGGAAGATGTCCATCCCCACTGGTGGGACTGTCTGTAGGACTTGCCCTCAGTTCCTTTTGGTACGTTGGACTCTGTGGCAGACTCGATTTTATTTTTTTGGAACTGGTTTTATTATACAGCCCCTAAACATAGGCAATGTATTAATGTTTTAAATGACAATGAGTGAAAACAGGCTCAGTATTGGCCTGCTCTTCCTGCAAGATTTTGATGTTAACACGGGAGCCAGCCATGACAATAAGGCGTCCTCCGGATCTTATTTTTTGTAGTGCTGCAACATTTTTTCCAGGTGTAAGAACCTTTTAAAGAGTGCACAGGAGGCCTGGCATGAGACCCAAGACTGGGAACCGGCTCAGGACCGGGTCTACCTGCAAGATGCCTAGAGGTGGCAATATCTGACTGGGGGAGGTTGTCCACTGGTCAGCCCATCAACTCTATAGTCCTGTTCCAGTTGCCACGTGGCAGTTTGCAGTCTTCCTCTTGATGCAAGAGCTGACCAAGGGGTTTCTTCCCTCCAGTGAGCCCCTACCACTGCTGTGACTCCCCTGTTCCCATTGCTATGGCAATAGAAAGCTGCTTATATTCCCCCACAAAAGCTTGCTGTGTGCTGCTGTCCTTCCATCCCTCTCCCTTAGAGTTAGCAGGGGAGAGGAGCAGAGTACTGTGGAATAGTGGAAGGTCTAAGTTATATCCCATACATTCAGTTTAGCTAACAATATACACATACCACAAGTTCCATGATCAGTGAATAACTTCTTTGCAGCAGGTTTGCCATTTTTGTCATGTGATAAATTTCTTGAATATCGTGCATGTTAATATTTAGCATGCAAAACTCATGTGAACCTTGTGATATGATAAATGTAATGTCTGCCAGGGCCTAATTGTCAACACTGGGAAAACTGACAAATGACAACGTACATTTCCAGTTTCTAGATTTATGCACGGATGTAGGTTACTAGCTAATTTAGCTAAGGTTACATAGGATATTATATAGGATACTGTAAAAAAACCCAACCAGCACAGTAAGGGGTCTAGAAGGAACTGATGCTCCAAAGGAGGGTAAGCAGTTGAGAATTGGGAGGTAAGCTGCTTTCTCTTGGTAAAGAGCAAGTATTGCACTCTCTTGTTCTTGGATTATCACAATCAGTCCTGTCAGAATCACTGGCAAAATAAACTAACCTGTGTAGAATCAAAAGTTATCAATTTAGTATTTTGGTTTTGTAATCATTTTTAAGTATTCTGCAAACATGTTTTAGTGTAAGAAATATTGCATCATTTCACTTGTGATTACTGGACTAAACTGAGCAACTTTAGACAACTTTGCTATGCTTATTCTGTCCTACCATTGTGCAGGATATAAGTTAAGCAAGATGCAATGGCAGCTGTATATCACTTTATACGTCTTGGACTGAGAGCAGCTCCCATTGGGTTTGGGGTGTGGAGGGTGATTTGTTTAGTTAAAGAAAGTTGATGGTAAAAATTTGCAATTAATACAGTGCAGTTTGGCTCAGTGTATTTTTAGCTTGTTTCATGGTTGTATAACTTAATCAAATTGTTAGAAAATATTTATAACCCCCATGGATCTGGGACTGTTCAGCCTGGGGAAGAGAAGACTGAAGGGGGACTTGGTGGCCGTCTATATGTATGTAAGGGGTGAATATCAGGAGCTAGGAGGAAAACTTTTCACTAGGGTGCCCCAGGGGAAGACAAGGAGCAAAGGCCATAAACTGTTAGAGGATGGTTTCACATAAGGAAGAACTTCTTTACAGTAAGGGTGACCAGAATCTGCAACAGACTTCCCAAGGAAGTGGTGGAGTCCCTAACCTTGGAAGTCTTCAAGAGGAGAGTCTTCAGGGGTGGACCTGAAGATCTGTTTAGGTCCCTTCTGACCCTAAGCACCATGATACTATGAGATTAGATAGACTCCTTGCTGGGATCATTTGATCTCAGCAGTATTCCTGCCTGGAGCAGGGGGGTTGGACTCAATCTTTCAGGGTCCCTTCCAGCCCTTAATTTCTATGATTTCTATAATAAGGATTCCATAGCTTGGTTTAGAATAATTTTCTCCAACTTCCTTTGTGAATTTCAAGAGACCACTCACTGTTTATCTGATTGTATATTCTCTTTGTATTTTTGTTAGTGTAAAAGTAAGCTTTATGGTATAATAATATTGATACTATTTCTGGGTACACCGAAGAGCTGAACTGCCAGTATAATCTGTAAGTAGGATTTTCTTCTTGTCTATCACTAACTTGTGGTTTACAGTCTCTCATAGTATACCAGTCTCTTAAATGTGAATAGTAATATTTAACTTGTATCGAAGAGGTAAGTTTTCCGAAAGTGACTAGTATTTTTGGGTGCTCCATTTAAGACTTTCTCCCTAGTTTTCTGATGGAAGATGTTTGGCACTTCTGAAAATGAGACCATTTTAAAGTGTCAGGTTGGGCACTAAAATCACCACTTTTGAAAAAATTTTCTCTGAGTTGCTGATATTTGCCAAGTGCTTGGGGAGCCTGAAATGAAAGATGTTACTGAAATACAAAATGAACATTTTTATTAGCAGCCAACACTCCTATTTCAGCTACTGATAAATGGTCATTAACAACTTGTCTTTTTATCTCACAAATGTAAAACTCGTAAGTTGCGAAAACACAGTTCTTCAAAATGCTGGTATGGCAATCTTTGCACCTGTACTTCTGCTTTGTAAATTGCCTTCTTCCTTGTCCACAGATACACATTAGCTGCTCAGGATCTGGTGATGCGAGCCAGGGGAGTGCTGAAGGACAGGGGCTGGAGAATATCCAACGACAGACTGGGCTCAGGAGACGACATTTCCGTCTTTGTCATTCCTTTAATACATGGAAACAAACAGTCATTGAACAAACAGTAGCTCCAACAAGTGACAGGAAGGTGGTGGTCTTTTTAGGAAAATCATTTGAGAAGACATGACAGTCAAAACAAGGACAGTTTTGATTGACAGTAATCTATTCTAAACTAATGCTGGAGGGGTATTTTTCTGCCCAATAGGTAGGGTTCTGCACATATACTATATATAATTAATGGTATCCCTTAAGATTACAGCTTCCCTATGGTTTTTGGTGCTTACTGGGAGTGGAATATAAATGCTGCTAGTTTGTTACAGATTTTGTTGTCCCTCTGAGTGAGGACCCTGTCCTGCCCTGAATCAGGAATTAATCTTTTTCTGTTTACCATGTAGCTTGAAAAAGCCATTTTTCAGTAGTAAAAATAGAAATGGGTTGAAAGCTGGTGAGCTGTTCAACAACCCCATAAGCAATTAAAGCAGTGACTCTGGGACATGTTTCTTTAAAAAAAAAAAATTAATTTAATCTGGCCCTTGAAGTTGTTTGTTTTGAAGAGCTACTGTCATTTTTTGGTCCATGGAGAACCTCAAACGTGCAAAAAACTTGAATTCTAATTTTTCCCATTTGTACCCCTTTCAAATCAGTCTTGAGACTTCACTGTTCCTTATTTCATGTGTTTTAGTGGGAAAAACAAGATTGTCCTTGTGACTCGGTCTCTCCTACTCTACTTAAGGTGGTCATCTGCAAAATTACCGTGACAAGCAGGTAGCAGTTTTGTCGAGGCTTCCTTTTCTATGTAATCACAATGCAACAAATCAAATAATCCTTACTTTATGTAGTGTTTCTCTGGAAGCCAGGGTTTCTTTGGGACCAGGGATTTTCATTCATTGAATGGCTCTGTCTGCTTTATTGTGCATCCTGTTGAAAGGATCACTGAACATATAGCTTTTGTATCAATTGATATTCAGTAAATGTCTCTCCTGAGTTTATTCTTACTCAGATTTCTAATTAAACTAGGTAGTGGTAGAGTTCTAGTAATCAGCCTAGAAGCATGGATAAAAATTTCAACAATCCTTTCATTTCTGTATGTCTGTCTGCCTCATTGTTCTTCATAAAGGTCCTTTACCTGTCCCCAAACGTCAGGATCCTGTGATCAGAACTTGACATCTCTCACATGTATCTTTTAATAGTGAGTACTGTAGTGCAGGAGGCAGTATAATCATTATATTGGTTTCAAGACCGTGGCTTGTTGGTCTCCAGTTTTACTCGCTCAGAATAAACAAAAATGTATTGGAGTGGGATATTATCCAAGTAGAAGCATCAGTCCCAATAGGAAGGCATTCTAGCTCCAGTCCAATAGGAACGCAATAGGAAGACAAATAGTGTTTCCAACCGTTGTTTGTTCTGTACACATTCAGCTCCTCGCTCGGTGGCAGGAATTTCGATTTTTTTTCTACAGAAGCTTCTAGTGCACAGATGGGTAGTCATGTATAGGAAGCCAAGCTCTGCAGGAGTTGCCCCCTAAACATGTTGGAGCTGCTCATCCTGGTTTGTAAATAAAACAACTTCTTGGATAGCAAAGAGAAAGCTGAGCTGAGTTGACATAAACTTAGAGTGCTAAGCAGACATCTCACAAATGTTGAGCTCTTCCCAAAGGAAAAAGTGCAAGCTTTAACAAGAGGATGCTGTGTTCTTCCCTGAGGTGGTATTTGGATTTTATTCTGAATAATATTGGCCTGGAGCCTGCTAATCCAGTTATTGCCTACATAAACAAAGTATAGTGTTTTCAGTAAAGTTTATCAAGTGTTCAGGCCAACGGTTGACATGCCATCCTGACGACGGGTTCTGCAGTCTACTGTGGTAGGCTTAAAAGCCCATTTCTATAGATCTGTACAGTATAAGTAGGTAGGACTAAACTGAAACAGGCCAGTGTTGAGTGGACAATGGGTCAAATGTACAGCAAGCATTTGATCAGAGCCTAAAGTACGTCCCATAGATTGCACAGTGCTTGCATGTAATAAATCCAGAGCTGATGCATAAATGGATAGAATAGCTGATTATATGTCATACTTAATTTTGTTTTGCTGTTACCCCTTTTTCATGCAGTGCAAAACTGATGAAAAGATACCTGTAGATTTGACCTCTGGCTGAAGTCTAGAACATTCTCCACATAAGCTTTCAAATGTTTTACATTCTGAGCAATAGCTTTGATCCCTTGCTTTCATTCTCCCCCTTCTTGGCCTAATACATGTATAAACTATCATTCATACACACTAATTGGAATTTATTCATTCATTTCCAATGTAAATATGTCATTGTGTATCATTTCAAATTGTAGAGGTAGAACTTGTCATGTTACTATGATTGTGTTAAACTGCAGTGGAAAATGCACCTTCCCATTTAACAGCCTTCTGAAGTAACCTTAGCGGTGTTTGGCAGCAGTGGCAGATCACGTAAATGGAAAAGTAGCAAAATGGCTCTGTGCTTATTGCCATCTTCCTAGCATTGATATTTCTTTGTGAATTAGACTCCACTTGTTTGCTTTTCATTCATACTACCATCACAAATCACCTCATCCCTTTCCAGCTACTTTGTAGAGAATGTGTTGGCAAGGAGAGTATTTCCTTAATAGGCCAAAGGAATGGTGCTCTGAATGCTGAAACTGGAGCTTGTATAACTGAATACAGTTAACCCCTTGTTGTAATAAACTATGAGGATATTCTAGCATAATAAAGAACTAGACATAGGTTACTGTGATAAATCTGAGGGTTTTATTTTCCTGTTATTTCAAAGCCTCTATACATGAAATGCTTTCCCCACTGGTATCTTCATTACCTCTCTCTCCTACCTCTGTCTCATATGCTGCTATAATACCTTGGCTTTTACTTGCATCTGTTTTTGTTTTAAAGGCTTTCTTACCATATGTATGCAACACCCCATGCTTTGCTCCAGAGATACTGTAGTGTTTCTTGTACTGCCATGGATTCTGCTTCCTTTTGCAGGGTTCATTATCACAACAGCAAACATTTGTGCTGGCAAGCAGAAAACCTTGGGACCTGTGTTTCCATAAAAAAACATTTCCCAGCAAAATATTTGAGGCTAGATACACCAGGACTTGGGTATTGCAAGGTTCTGTATCACAATACTTAATTTAGGTAGCCTGGTGAAGAGTGAAGTTCCCAATCCTGTTTTAAAAATAAAGGGCTCAAGCTACCAAAAGGGATCAAGCACCTAGGTCTAACTATTGCTATAGGTGTCTTAGACCAGAAAGTATATATTTTAAACTATCCAGCTCAGCTGAAGGCACTTAACATCTCTAAGTACCTAATTTGTGGTCATCAAAGTTCTCTAGGTGCCTAAATTTCTGCTTCTGGGTATACTAGGATGCCCTTCCTCCACATTGCTGACCTTCAGGGCCTGACTGAGGTGCTTGCAGAGCACTTGTAAGAATCTGTTGCACACACAAGGCTGACAGAGGTGCTGCTACTGTCTTCTAGCCTAAAGGTTAGGGCACTCACCCAGCATGTGGAAGACCTGGGTTCAGTTCTCTCTTCCACTGCTATGGGAGTTTAACTCATATCACCTGCCTCCATAATGGATGTTTTAACTGGCAGGCTATAGGGTATTCTGAGGCTTTCTCAGGTCTTCCTGTAAAGCTGTGTAACCTGCTGTGATAATTAAATATTCATCAGGCCACAGAGTAAGCAGGAGTATGAACATGACTCTAATAAAGTACTCATATGAGGTTGGGGGAGAAAGGGACCTACTTTCCAGTTTGTTCCAGCAAACGTTTCAATTGTTAGCATAGAGGCAGAGTATAGGTGAGTGCCTAGCAAATCTTGGCATGGGATTGCTTCAGCAAGAGAGATTAAGAGCATCCCATCCCAAAATGCAACACAGCTTGGTGATTCATGTGTTTGTAGCCAGCTCGGTTATTGGATGAAATGTGGGGAATGGTAGTGTCTTCTCCAACTGGATACTGTGCAGAGTTAAATGAAGCAGGCTGCACAGCTAAGATAAAGACTGTCTATTCTGTGAATCCTGGCAGGGCTTAGGTAGGAGCGAGCACTTGAGTACCTGAGGTTCCAGACTGCACTGTGCTGCTCAGCATCCAAGTCCCAGGGAACTGAGTCACCTATGGGGACGGACAAGGGTTCTCTTAAGTGTCACTGGGGCCTAAATGCTGGGCTTAGGCATATAAAGCAAGGTTCATTATAAAAGTAAACTCCAGTCACCACTATTAGATCAGCCCAGATGCATGCATTCATGTTGGTAAGATAATCAGTATCTTTAACGCAGAAATTGACTGTAAAGGAAATAGCAACTAAGTTAATTGATCATGCCAATCAATAATGTTGTTTTACTATGCCCTAGCTAAGGATAGATCAGCAATGCTTACAAAATCAGTCACTTCATCAAACCCTACAATAATATAAATTATACATGGAAAATATGTAACAGGCCATCTAGACTAGTTTCTGGCACTGTTGGGTTGCTTCTTAGAGCAATATTTTCTATTGTTTGGCCCAGCTCTTTTAAACATCTTGAGCAAAGTGGTTTCTCCTCCAAAATCAATTCCATAAACTGATAGAGCTGCTTTTGAAATGCTTCCTCTTGCTATACAACCTAAAATGTCCTTGTCTTACCTTAAAGAAAAGCTTAGATATTTTATTGCAAGCATGTTTGAAATTTGCAAACATCTTCTGTTGCAGTAACCAATTCAATGACACTTCCTTAGTGACAATATTATCCTGTTGTCTGAGAGTGCTGATTTTCAGTAGTCGCACACTGGAGGAGAGAAGTTGCTGAATAAAACAAATTAAAAGACAACCGAACTACCTACCTGAAGCAAAAGTGATTTTTAGGCTGCGGGATTAGCATGAAATTATTTACATGTTAAAATATAACCAGAGGTAAATACACTGCACTGTAGAAACTGTGCCTGTCTCCATGATGTTTGAAGTACAAACACTTAATATCTGGACAGATCTTGGCTTTGAACTCTGTTTCTTGTATATTTGCTAGGTTTTAAAGGACACTACACAATCCAACCAAATCTATTGTGTTTGTTCTTTCCTTTCGGCTTTTTTTTGTACCAGTAACATCATGGCTTTTGTATCTAACATAAACCCCAGACCATGGGGTATTGCTGTTTGTTTCTTCATTATAAGTGTGTAAATAGCATTTCTCCCTCTGTCTTAGATGAAAGTATAGTAATGTTGCTTCTTTGTAGACAATGACCAAACGATGCCGTAACTGTGCTGCTGTTTTCTACTTGTGATGTACTTGAAGGAGGGGCCCTTGTCAACCTCCATTTCCTTTTTTTTTCTTTTGTTCTTCCACAGGTACTTTATTTTATTACATTTTTAAAAATAAATTTGGTAGCTGCTGCTTTCTTCTTTCCCTTGTTGGCTGAATGATCATACTTTGAAGAAGAATGTACAGTTGTCAACGCTATGTTCTGAAGAAAGCAAGCTCCACTGAAAGATGATGATTTGGACCAACGTACTTAGGCTTTGTGACTGTGAAATGTTAAACTTTTTGTAACTTGAGAACAAGAAAATGTTTAGTAAAGGGATATATTTTGTGTTTTTTGAAACTTTTAAGTGCAATGAAAAAAGAAGGATGCTGAAGAAATGTATGTGCAAAGTTTTAAAATAAAATTTTAAATTATATAATCCCCCTTATTCTGCCGGCTTTTCCTTTTCTGGGAGACTACTTCAGTGATTCATTCTGAGTTGATTGGTTAGTAATGGAGATTTTTAACATGTTGTGTCTTTCAAGAAAATGGGAAGATTCATTGCCATATAATCTTATGTCTTGATTTAATTTAATGAGTTGTTCTGAGGTGCTGAAAGGCCATAACCTGCTGTGAGACAATCTAGAAGTGTTCCTCAGTGAGACCTGAGCTGTTCTATGCAACTTATATAGTAATGCCTGCCTCTTTGCATTTTAATAGACCATTGCCAAGGACAGTATGCATCCAGAAGCCCACATAGACCATTACTACTTACCCTTGAAAAGCTAAAATTAATGTGTCAGGCTCAAAAATTTCCTAGATTATAAACCACACATTACTGTGAGACAAGAACCCCAGATATCAGATTCAATTAATGTGTGTTTCTTTCATTACCCTATTCATTTTCCAGGTCAATGTTTGTGCTATCCTGAAATGTAACCCAGGTTTCTAGTATCTGCACAAAGTCAAGTTGCACAGAGTTTAATTATATTCAATGTTTTACTCTCTAAAGTACCTTACACAATCAATCCATTTTCAGCAATTTCCAAAGGCACAAATGGGAGTTAGGCACTTCCTAAGCATGTTCACTTCCTTATTCTACTCCATGCTGCCACATTAACAAGATGTTTTAAAATTAAAAATTAAATTACAATACCATGATGTTCACTTCTAGTACTATGTCATGAATAGCTCTGTGATTTTTTTTTTTTTTTAATCACCTTTACCCTGGCACTTCCTCACCCTGTCTTCCATTATTTATTACTGTACTCCCAAAATACACTTAACATTATAGGACAAATTTATTGAGGCAGGGGCTTCAGCTCTTCTCTGTTTGGTAACATGCCTAGCACATTTCTGGACACTTTTAAAAGTATCTGTAGTATACAAGGACCAAAAAAATAAGGGCCACTAAATCATTTTTTGTCTCCTATAATAGGTGCCATTCTAAGTACAATGTACTTAAATGAGCCTAAATTGCCATTTTTACCAATTCCAGAGCTACTGGAGTACTTATCCAATGATAGATTTATAAATTAAAACTATTGAGTCCTGCTCTTCTGGGTAGAAAAAAGAAAGATCTATTCATAATGATGTATTTAACTTTTATACTGGTATAAAAAAAGGTGGAGATAGATGGTGTAAACTGTAAGTAACTTCACCCAATCCAGTGTAGAATTATACTTGAATAAGAGTGGTAGGTACAACTACACGGGTAGGCATTGTCTGTCTGCAGCAACTATACTGGTGTAGGCATTGTCTTTCTATAGATTATTTTGGGTAGCTGTTTGCTCAAGGCAAACAGGCTCTTACCTGCTTCACTGCCACCTAGTGGCAAGGTGCCTTAGTAGCCACTTTATACATGCAACCACCTGAGACAGATACACTCCAGGTTCCATACAAAACCAATGTATATATGTCATCTGCCCATGCCGTTAGATACTGTATGTACTACTTGAACCCCAGGAGAGAAAATCCTGAACACTGCTGTTGAGAATATCTTATTTAATAATTTTGATTCTTGCGGAATATCTCAGGATTCTCACCCACTCACTCTTCCTCTGAAGTTTGAAGGAGATCATTTAAAGTTGTATTGTTCTCAGATTTTGATGATATTGTCTTTAGAGGCATTATTCTTGCAATCATTCTGCTTAGAGAGAGGCTAAAGAGTCTCTGAGGAACCTTTACTTCTTTGAATCAGGGGTGTCAAAGATACAGCCCAAGGTCTGGATCTGGCCCACTGTGCTGCTTATGGGTCTTAACTGGACCTGCACACGATGTGCATTATGCTCCAGACTGGCCTCATATGCTACATGCACCACATGCTGCATGCAGACAGGACTGTCTGCATGCCGTGTGTGGAGCTGGTGCCAGTGCATATGCTACATGTGGTGCATGGAGCCAATCCAGGTGGCATGCTGCATTCAGTGCACAGGGCTGGCCAGGGCACACACTGGATGTAGTGCCAATGCTGGACTGGCCTTGCATGCTAAATCTGGCACACAGACCTGGTCTGTGAGCCCAACTTGGCCCTCAGACCTGACCCATGCCCCTCATCTGGTCTGTGGGACCTGATGAGTTCGACGCCCCTAGTATAAATCAAAAACTAATGAGAAATTTCAAGAGGCATCATTTAGTTCATAATAGAACAGCTATTGCTTACTCTCTAACCCATTTCCCTGGTCATTAAGAGAATAAAAACAAAGAAAGGTTTGGAGAGTTTTACCATTTTTGCCCTAGGAATGTAAGATCTGGGCACAGGACATCTTTCAAGAAGCCAGTTTCCTTTGGATGCATTTCTCTGAGGGTGTTGGACAAGATGGGCAAGATCTAATCAAACAGGGCAGTTCCCCCATTCCTAAAGAAAAGCTTGGAAACTGGGGTATATACTTCTCTATAAAAGACCATTAGTCAATTACAGCATAAATATTCAAAAGCAACTGGCAAGCCTCAAGTAACTAGTTACTTTTGAAAATTTAGACAAAGTCTCCATAGTCTGACTATCTTCTATTTCACAATTAATCTCAAGGACACATTACAAACAAGATTCACTTAAGAATAACAGTATCCGTGGTGGAACATGGCAGCTATACAAAATAACAATACAGGACCCTCTAGGACAGGATGTGAAAGAAAATAGTATACCAGGGGAAATAAAAGAAGGCAAACCAATTGCTCAAATTAGAACTTGGCAAGGACTGTACAGAGTGGAATTTTGAATGGCCTCAAGTGGTCAGGACCTTGATTTTTGTGTCTCAAATATCAATATCCATACTGATGTATTAGTTCAGTACCACTCCAGAGGGGAAGTGTAGCCTTTTAAATTGCCAATATCTTTTTATGCAGCCCTCAGGTTTTCCCTAGGTTTTTCCCAGACAAATATTGACCATATCTTATGTAGTAGAGCTTATTAAAGCTGATAAAAATCTCTACCCAAGGAGCTATGGGTGCAAGCTAATAAAGCAAACTAATGCTGCATTTTACAAGGATCAATTTCCATTTCAATCTGTTCACATTTAAAAATGAATTTGCTTGTACCTTTAGTATTTGCTTTCCACCAACTTTCAAGCAATTAATTTATATACCAAGTAATTAAGAATACGTTACAAGGGATGGGATATTGGTAGCTTAAAATAGTAAGAGGACAGAATCCTTACAATTCCTTAATTGAGCACTGGCCCAGAACTATGATCCAGAGAAAAATCTACTCATACCCTTTCCAGCCAGATCTTGCATCCAAACACAACTGCTGTGTAGGTGTGTCTACATGTCCAATTCATGTGCCTGAATTTTCTGCACAGAAAACCCAGGCTCAAAAGTGTTCCCTGGTACATGTCTACATGTAAGCTTGTCAGAAATAAACTGAACCTGACGGGAGCAGCTCAGTTCAGGGCTGCTCCTGCTCTGCTCTGACCCCCGCAGCAGCCAGTTGGAGCTCCAGGCTCCCCTGGGTGTCAGCTCCAGGCTTGCAGGTGGCATGGGAGCTTATTCCAGAGCTCTGGAGTGTGCTGGGTGGGGAGCCGTCCCAGCTCTTCAGGCTGCTGTGTCCCAACCAGGGGGAGATCAGGCTGGCTCTGAGTGGGGCAGGGGCCCAGAATGGGGCAGCACTAGGTGTGGTGGTGTGGGGTTATGCCCCTCGGTGTAGCCGCATGTGCAGGGGACACGTTGACAGGGCAGCATGGAACTCACAGCAGCAAGCAGTTTTTCTGTGCAGCCCCTGCAGTGCCAGGTTGCACCTGCCAGCTGTGAAGGGCAGCAGGGCAGGTGCCTGAGTCTACAGTGGGCAGCCTACACCTGCCCCCACCCCGCATACAAATCAGGGGGAGGGGGGGGCATGGGTCGCCCCTGCCCCCCAGAGTGCATGCAGCAGCAGGGAGACAACCCCCATCCCACCTGGCCCCGCAGCAGGCAGGCAGTGGGGGCTCAGTGCTTTGCTCCACTGCAGCAGCTGCCCCCTTCTGGCACTGTGGCCCTGGCCCAGCAGCTGGGGCCTCCCTTCAGCAGGGCTGGGCTAGGATGGGATGGGGGGTGAGGGGGTAAAGGGCGCAATCAGGGTCAGGGGGCTGTGGAGAGAGGAGTGAAGAGCACCAGCAGGGCCAGGGGGGTGATTACAGGGGCCCTTTCATTAAATAATGGATTTGGGGGGTTTTTATCAGAGAATTTCCAATTTAGTATCAGAGAAAACCAGGATCCCTGCTAATTACCAACACCTTGAAGAGAAAAAGGTGAGGTGAGTTTTCCGGACTATCTGCTGAAATTTCTAGACTCTATTTCTAGACTATCTGCCTTCACACAATTTCTATGAGGCACAAAGAAACCCAGTGACTGCAAACACATACCTGCTGAAGACCCTTGAAAATCCCCATTCCTTTCAGAGAAAAATCAAAAGTGGGCTTACCAAAAAGATGGCATTTTTCTCTAGGAAAAACAAAGATGAGGGAAGGACTTGGCCAAACTTCATTTACAGTGACTGCAGTGCTGGGATTCTATCGGTACCCGATGGATTCCTCTCTCAGACTGCCCCATGCTGCTATTCCTTTTGTTATTTATGAGTATTTCTGTGATTTGTTATCCCACAGAGTTTATAACATATATTACTTACAACTTTTCAAGATTCTATTTGAGAGAAAAACTTGAGCGTCTTTCCTGAGGCAGGTCTGTATGCTGTGCTCTGCAGCGAGGCTGTGCTTCCTCTGGTGTTGGACCATTGCATTGGTGTAGATCACTGAGGCATCACAACACACCCAGAGTGGCTGCCAGTGCTTTAAGGAAGCCAAACACAAAGAAGAGAAGCAAAATGTAAAATGAATTCTAGGCTGCATGTCTCTTATTAGCTATATTTAAAGAATTCAACACAGCAATTAACAATTAGTTCATCTTAGAAAGGAGGAGAAACCCTGCTTTCAAGTTGCTTTAAAAGTGTCAGCCCAGACGCACCAAAATACTGAG